ATATCTAGGATTCCTACCCACCCCCATGTTCTCTAGCTTCCCTTTTGTACTCATGGCATCTTTTTCATTTTTAATACATTCCACGTCTGGACAAAGCCCCCAGCACAACCCATCCCTTGTGACCTAAAAATTAAAAGATAATTCTCTCTCTCTCTCTCTGTAACTGCAAATAATTAAAACCCATCAGACTGTGATGTATCAGAAATTGATTTTATTGAACACACGGTTTCAGAAGATTTTGTGTGGAGACACTCTTGCTCTCTCTTGGCCAAACAGTGAAAAGCCAAGGCTATGCTAACAGCAGGGGCCATGGTTACAGAATTATAGAATCACAGAATTGGAAGAAATCCCAAGGGTCATCCAGTCCAACCCGCTGCCATGCAGGAATACACCGTCAAAGGATTCCTGACAGATGGCCATCCAGCCTCTGTTTAAAAACCTCCAAAAACTTTTGTGTCATCCGCTTTTACCAAAGGGAAGTGGAGATCCGAGAGTTTCTTCCGTCTTGGTTTAGAGAGGGCATCCAAGCTGGGAGGTAGCTTTGTTCTGTGTGGGTCACATTTCTGCACCACCCACCCTTCCATCCTCTGTACCAGTGGGGACTACAAATGACACTGGTACAAGGGTTGGGAGAGAGGGGAGGGAGACTTTTGTATGCTCCCTTCCTGAAGCAGCAGGCAAAATGTTCGTTCAAATGCCATTATCTGCAAGAATTCAAAAAGAAACACATAGAAAGGGGAGAAGAGGATTAGAAGGAGAAGCTAGGAAAACAAGGTTTCAAAGACAACCTGGAAAAGGCAATACATTTCAAGTGTTCTCTCAACCCAGATGTAGGGCCTTTACAGACTGCCAGAAATAATACAGCTTGAGTCCCCTTTAACTGCCCTGGCTCAGTGCTAGGGAATCATGGGAACTGTAGTTTATTGTGGCACCAGAGCTCTCTGACAGAGAAGGCTGTGTCTCAGAAAAAAACTACAGTTCCCATGATTCCCTAGCACTGAGCCACGGCAGTTAAAGGGGACTCAAGCTGCATTATTTCTGGCAGTCTGTAAAGGCCTGTAGTGTTGCAATTAGGGTGCAGAACTAGACAGGAGTAGATCCCAAATCAAAGTCTTACTGAACTATGAAGCTCATGGTTCAAGGTAGCCATGTGTCCTATTTTGCAAAGGACAGTCCTCCACTGGAAGGGCCCCTGGGGAGGGTGTTCCTCTTTTGGAAGGTATCCTCTGTTATGAAGGGCTTTCTGATCCAAATCTGGTTTAAAAATAAAGGAAGGGAAAACAAGGGCCTTAGACCAGAGACTGAGCAGATATACAGGTTACCTGTTCACAGTGTTCATAGTTGAAAAAGTACAAAATTTCTATTGAAATTATAATAATTATATTTGCATCTATATTTCAAATATTAGCATATGAAGATTTAATGAAGAGTTATGCCCTGTTTCATCCTTTTTTTCTTTTTTGATAATGCATTTTGTCTTTTGTGGTAATGTATTAAGTGACCACAGAGAGCCAGCCTAGTGCAATGGTTTGTGTTTGCACTAAGACTGTGGAAAACCAGGATTCAACTCCCTGCTCAGCCACGGAAACCACTTAGGCTTGGGCAAGTCACACTCTCTCAGCCTAGGAAGTAAGCAGTGGCAACCCTCCTTTGAATAAATCTTATCACATTAACCTTAAGATAGGGTCAGCATAATTGGAAGTTGACTTGAAGCCACATAGTAAACAAGTGACCACTCTATCAGTGAATGACTTGAAGATCATTGTACGTTCTCAGTGTAATTTGTCTCATAGGACTGTTGTGAAAATAAAAAAGTGGGGAGATGTATGCTATTTAGAGTTCATTGGAAGAAAGGCAGGATATGGATGTAATAAATTTAAACAGATGGCAAATTGTTTTAGAAGTCCAAAGTTCATCTCAGTTGCTATTTAGAGGCACAGTTAAAACATGTGGAATTCTACTTTGTAACAACAACATTCTCTTATTGGAAAAATGAATAAGGGTCCTTCTTTTTTTTTCTTTGAACTACACCTTCCAGAATTCCCTTGCCAACATGGCCAAAAGTAACTTTTCCAAGCTCTGGGTCTAAAAGGTTTAATAACCTTAGCAAATATATAATGTTGAATGCTAAAGAGCAACCAAAGGTTTCTCTATGAGTTATGATTATCTTTGCAAATGTGTTCATTCCAGAGACCCAGAGTTTTTATTCTAAGTGGATTCCTGAACAAGTAACCAGGGCTATGAGAGCAGAACATTCAGGAAAATTTAGATTTTCTGCTAAGACCCTCCTTGATGTGGAATCTCCAAAACTGTGTACACTTACATTCAAAATTCAACCTAAAATACAGTGTGTGTTTGGTTTCTTTTATGCAAAATAGCCTCCCCTAAAGTAGAATCCTTCAGACACATTGTGCTGCAACTCCCATAAAGCTGAGGGGCTAACCTAAGGTGCTTATTTTAATGTAACCTACCATTTGATGGGAAGCAGCAATGATTTCTTAAGGGCTACACCTGGCTAGTCTTCAATTTCAACCCACTCTAGAAGATACGTGAAACCCCTTCCACCTCAAGAATCAGGGAACAAGTTTGAACTTGACCAAAGAAAGAAAAAGCAGTTCTACACTTTTTATTTTATTTTAATTGGGACCACAAGGTGTGCTGCTGTTCCCCTTTTAGTTCTGGCAATGCCTGCCTATTTAGTGCTCATTGAATACCAACCAGGTGCTGGCATTCTCTTTACACACACACATGTTGATTGAAAGCACATATACTTTGCCTCTTAAGCATGTAATCCCCATCCCAACTTTCCAACATATAATTTAAAAGAACATCTTCATAAAAGAAAACAGATATCAGAACAAGATGTTTTGTTTAAAATAAAATGCTATTGAATGCCCAATCAGAGTGTGAGGCTGTAACAATTTTATAACTCCTTGTTGCAGACTTACTCACTGGGGGCTGGAAACATTATCTTTCTTGTACCCCAGTCACAGCTGAACAGACTTCCTTCACCTGATACAGCTGCTGCCTTTTAAGGAGGTTTGGGCAGTTGGGCCAGGAGACATTACCTACTGTATATACTCATGTAGAAGTATAGACATTTTAGTAAAAAATTAATTTAAAAAAATAGGTCAACTTACCCATGGGTCAGTGTTAGTGCTGTAGGTTAATTCTTATCAAAAAAAAAAAGGAACCATCCTCTCCTCTTGAGTAGAGTGGTGAAAGATAAGATGTAAGTCCATCCTGGGGGCACCTAAAAGAAACACCAGCCTTTAGAGTGAGCCTGCTGGAATATTGTAAGTTCTTTGGTATTGTTTCCATTGCTTCGTCCTTTACATCCTTTGTTACATGCCCCTAAATTTTACCCTTGACTTATCCATGGGTTATACCAAAATCCCTAATTTTGGCCCCCAAATCTGCCCTTGACTTGTACAGGAAGTTGCCTTATAGTCAAGTATATACAGTAATGAAACATAGATAACTAAGTGCCAATGTATATTATCAGCACACATTCAATCCACAACCAATATAAACCAATTAAGCCAAGGACAGGCAACCTTTTTGAGACCTGGGCCGGTCTCCCGTAGCCCAGGTCTCGGCTGGGCCGAGGGGGGGGAATGGCGGCACACCCTCCTCCACCCCGTGCACCCCCCGCACATGCTGCCACCGCAGCCACTACTGCAGCTGCCGCCGTAGCACGTGCGGCCGCAGCCACCACGGCGCATGTCATGGCCGCTATTTTGGAAGTCCAAATCGCAGTCGTGAAGCATTTGCGCATGCACAAGAGTACTGCGCATGCGCAAACGCGTCGCGACCAGCATTTTGACTTCCAAAATGGCGATCGCAGTGAGTGCGGCCGCAGAGCGGCAAAAATACGCCCCAACGGCGGCGCGCGGTGGTGGCGGTGGTGGCAACCTTCGGCCTGGGCCGGTAAGTCCAGGGCCTGGGGCCTTAACCGGCCCCCGGGCCGTAGGTTGCTGGTCCCTGAATTAAGCCATTAAACAGAACACTAAGATATTGGTGAACTTAACTGGTCTTAGAAGCTTACCTGACAGATGTTTAACGGGGAAGGAATGAACTAACGGCACTGAGTCATAAAACTCACCAAATGATCTATGGCTAGCCAAATACTCTCTTTTCTCTCTCTCTCTCAGCTTGACTTAGCTCACAAGGCTGTTGTGAGCATAAAATGGGGATGACAAGAGCCTTGTATGCTGCTTTGAGTTGAGTTGAGTGGATGGCTGGATATAAATGTGTGATATAAATAACTAGATGTTCAGTTTTGGAGCAGAAAATCTTCCTTAGGAATTGTAACAGGGCATTATACAAGTAGACATGTCTAGGAAAAAACCCTCTTGACTCTTTCCTAAATGAGAAGAAAAGGATTCCATCAGAGTTGGCACTATGCCAAATATGACAGAACCAGGATACAAAACCCCAAACATCCTTTTAAAAAAAAATCCCACAGGATCTTTTTACAAAGCTATCTTCCTGAAATCAGAAGAATTTCCTGTGTATGCATGCTTTGGTCCAAGTAAATCAACTTGGGATATTCCACAATAATTAAGGGCAAAATGTCTAATTTTATTTGAACAGTTGATATCCCAGCTTGCTATAGCATCTTGACCAACTAAGGTCATCAACCAATTAAAGAAAAAACAGCTAATTGTAGGAGCTATGGGCTACAATCCTACATACGTTTAGGAATAAATCCTTTTGAACTCAATGTAATTACTTTTGATTAGACTTGTATAGGATTGAGCTGCTCGTCTATTAATTTGTTAATAGAGGTAATCTCCATAAATTCACCCTTCTTTCATACAAACACAGGCTGCTTCTTTTAAGTGCTTGCCATGCACAATTTTTAATACATAAATTGTATATATACATAATTTTGTATATAACAATAAGCCTGATCAGGTCAGACTTTTAGTCAATAAAAATGCTTTTCACAAACTTGATCTAACTGACCAACTAAATATATCATAACATAGCACTGAGACCCAGTGCAGTATAATGGTTTGAGCACTGGACTAGGACTCTGGAGACCAGAGTTCGAATCCATGCTTGGCCATGGAAACCTACTGGGTGACCTTAGGCAAGTCACACTGTCTCAGTCTCAGGGGAAAGCAATGCCTTCTGAACAAATCGTGCCAAGAAAACCCCAAGATAGGTTCTCCTTAGGGTCGCCATAAGTTGGAAATGACTTGGAAGGAATGCAACAACTTAAAAGCACAGGTAGCTGTTCCAAGAAATATGACACAAATAATAGTTACCTGACAAAAGTCACAGCACATTTAGATTCTCTCCAGAAGATCATGTTTTCATCCAAAACCATATCCAAAGGCAAGAGACGCCCGACTTCCCATCATCTCTAGCCATGGTAGCCTTGTCAAGATGAAGATTGCACTTCAGGTTTGGTTGAACAGCTTTTACAGTTTTGGAAATTCCTTCTTAATAGTCAGTAGGGGAAATTTTCCTACTAATGAGACTGAAACCAATTCTTCTATTTCATCCACCTGTAACACAACAGCAAAGCCAACATTGACTAGAATTGACCTGGATGTGCAGTATTCTCATTTTAAAAAACAACAACCCAAAAACGCTCTCCTCTGCTTTCTATCCCACTTTAGAACTGGTCACACATGAATGCAAATAGCATCTGAGATTCAAAGGCTTGCCTCCAGTAAGCTTGTGGCTAAGGTGTGATTTGAAAAGAGAACTTAAAGAATTTCAGCTGCCCTGCTATATACTACACCAGACCACACGCCAATGTTAAGTGTGAAAATGCTTTGCAAGTGCAGTACTTCTAGGTGCACAGTCTGTATAGCAGGGATCTGCAAGTGCAGTACTTCCAGATGCACAGTCCTCTATATCAGGGAACTGCCTTATACCAGGGACTCTTTCTCACTACACAATTTTAACACTATGATTCTACTTTTAAGTGCCTTGGCAGCATCCTATAAAATTCTGGGATTTGCAGTTTAGCAAGGAGTATTTAGAATTCCCAGCTAGAGAGCTTGTGGTAGTGATGGTGTGCCTTCAAGTTGTTTCTGGCTTATGGCAACCCTAAGGTGAGAACCTATCACAAGGTTTTCTTGGCAAGATTTGTTCAGAAGAGGTTTGCCTTTACCTTCTTCTGAGGCTGTGTGATTTGCTCAGGCTCACCCAGTAAATTTCCATGGCTGAGTGGGAATTCAAACCCGGGTCCCCAGAGCTGTAGTTCAACACTCAAACCACTACATCATGTTGGCTCTCAGAAAACTTTAGTGTCTCTCTAAACTACAAACCTGGATCTCAAAGGTAGTTTCTTTTTCTCTTGCTAATGGAACTTAAATTTTATTTCCTGGACTTTATGACTCTTTATATCCCAGAGCCCACATGGCCAAAAAAGAGTGGCCTCTGCCTACATGGATATACCATCTTAACTGAGAACAACATCTTGACAAAATATAAGCCTGTATCTCTACCATTGTTATTTTTCTTTCTTTCACCTGTATGATTTTTAATACTTTTGCCTGATAAAGAAGCCAGTGGAACTTCAAAAAATTGCATCATGTATTTTATGCATTTTGGTTGGCCTAATAAAGGTACCACTGTTTTGTAGATTTTGAATGTTATTGTACAAACTCCAGGATTCCACAGGATGCAGCCATGGCAGTTAGAATAGGGTTATAGTTGTTTACTGCGACAGAAACAATACCTGGAAGAACTATTTAAACGAGATTAAAGGGTGACAGATTCATTCAAGGAAGAACCATATGAAAACGAACCTCCAGTTTTAGAAAGTGAAGTAAAAGCTTAATTCCAAGCACTTGAGTGAAATAAATGACCAGGACAGATGGCATACCAATAGAGCTGCTTCACTCTACAGAGACAGTATTTACTCTAGTTCTAACTAAAATCTGTCAACAAATATGGAAAACAAAACAATGGCCCACAAATTGGAAACGTTCAGTATATATTCCAATCCCCAAGAAAAGGGACACCAGGGATTGCAGTAACCACAGGTGCATGTGTGTGTGTTGTGCGCCTTTAAGTCGTTTCTGACTTACGGAGGCAAACGTATCCTGG